AATTGCTTGACTCCATTATATCTGGATCTCTGTTCTGTTCTGTCATATGGTTTCTGCTGCTTTGTGTTCCCATTTTGGCTGTCTTTCTGTGTCTGTTTCTATGTACTAAGTAAAGCTCCTAAGTCTCCCAGTTTTATTAGTGTGGATTTGTGTAATAGGTGTCCAGTGGCACAGTCCTGAGAGGGGTTCAGCTGCAGACCAAATTTAGCCCAAGCCCGTGCCCCTCTAGGGCCACCTGTTAAGATTCAGCAAGCAATTCATGCTATGCTATAAGTTGCCTCAAAAGGCCACGCCAGAAACTGAGGTCAGCTGCTACCATGGTGAGTCTAGGCGCTACTCTTCAAGGAGCCCCTGATTCGCTGTGGATACACCTGGATGTGGCTTGGGTGGGGCCGTGAGTTGGAGGAGGCGGGCTTTCAGGGAATCCTCTGGGTGGAGCGACCTCTGTTATCCAGTCTGATGACGTCAAGGCTATGGCAGACTGAGTCTGCACACTGGGAAAGGGGAGGGCTTAACAGAGGAACAATGAATACCTCCGGCACTTCTGTATAGAGTCAGTGTTGCCTGGGCTCTCATTCCAACAACTCAGTCTCCTGCCCCTGTAAGTCCCTGTGAAGCCAAATTGGCACTGGTGCTCAGAGCGAGCAGGTCTGCCACTGTGAAAGTCTGCTCGCGGATGTGGCCCCTTTAAGATTTACCCTTCACTTAAGTTTTCCCAATGATAACATCTTACATTAATATAGTGCATTTTCACAGCCGGAGAATTGGTATTGATACAATATTATTAAACTACATATTCACCAGTATTTACTTGTACTCATTTTTGAGTATATGTGTGTATAGTATCATGAAAAATTTTTTATTTTTATTTTTCAATTACAGTCGACTTTCAATGTTATTTTATAGTAGTTTCAGGTATATAGCATAGTAATTAGACATTGATATAAGTTATGGCGTGATCCCCCTGATACGTCTACTACCCAGCTGGCACCATACATAGTTGTTACAATATTATTGACTATATTCCCTATACTGTACTTTAAATATCTGTGAGTATTTTGTAACTACCAGTTTGTACTTCTTAATCCCTTCTTCATCCAGTCTCTTAAACCCCTTTCCATCTGGCAACCATCAGTTTGTTCCCTGCATCTATGAGTCTGTTTCTGTTTTGTTTGTTCATTTATTTTGTTTTTTAGATTTCACATATAAGTGAAATCATATCATCTTTGTCTGACTTATTTCACTCAGCATAATACCCTCTAGGACCATCCATGTCATTGCAGAGGGTAAGATTTTATTCTTTTCTTTGGCTGAGAAATATTCCATTGTATAATTGTACCACCT